TTGTACAAAATCTTTAAAAAATCACTTGAAAAAACAAACAGTTATTATTATTTTCCACTACCTTATTACCTGTTTTTATCATCTGTTATTTCATCATAACTTCAAAATCTATTAAACTAATAATACTGCATCAAAGTGAAAGACATATGGAATGTTCACATCTGTGGCAAATAATTTTTTTTTCTAAAGAAAAACATGTTATTATATTCATTATCTATTTTCAGTTTTAGCATAGCCCAACTTTATACAAATATATCTAAATCAACAGTGATATAATAGAACTCAAATGAGTTAAGTAACGGCAAGCTTTGCTTCCTTACTATTTAAAATTCAATGTCCTCTTCTGTCACAGAAAGAGAAGAATTACTTTTTGTGCTGAACAGATATACTATTCAACAAATATATATGTGAATATGTTTTCACAGAAAAGGTTGAAATACAGAACAGGGATGTCAGTCAGCTTGGTTTTCTTGTAGTAGATGATGTAATGTTGGAAAAGCTAAAGCTACTTCTATATTAATATCTTTTGTTCCTATAACCTGCACTGATCTATTCTATATTGTTGCATGCTTATAAAATTACATTTTTAAAAATCGGCAATAGTAATAGATGTCAATACTTCCGTAAAGAGTAATCTTCCTTTGATATTAATTAATGCACAATTAAAAAACTTTAACTTTAACAAAATCAAATAAATCTGAGCTATTACCCTCAATAACTCAGAAAACTTTTGTTATAATTTATATGAAAGGTCAGCATCTTTTATATCCATCTAATTTAACATTTTCATATTTAAAGAAGTAGTTACTTTTCATAAATTATAACTTAAGAACAATATAGATGGATAGTCTTACTGTAGCCCACCAAATTCAGAATTTGAGAACAATTCTTTCAAGAGAATGCAGACATCATAAACAAACACTCAAGCCCAAAATCAATCCTGCAATTCACAAGCATTTATGTAACTCATTTTTATGACTGTCACACTATACAGATTATTACTATATATGCCCTAAATTAGAAAACTATCAACTGAGATTCATAAAAATTACTGAAACCATCTAAACTCAATCCTCAACCACAGCACATAAGAATCGTTAGCAATAAGTGAAGTAATTTCTACTCCTCCTTTTCCTTCTAACAATAAATTCTTCACACCAGTGGTTCGTAGTTTCAAATCAGTGATCCACAAAACCCTCTGGGCCTCCATAGATGGTTCTGGGAGTCTGAGTTCGGATTTCAAGAATCTCAAGCAATTCAAGCTGGTAGCTAAAAATTAATAAAGCTATTTACTTTACCCATTCTCTCCTACTCATCATGGAATGTTAGTGACCATATACAGTCTCTTTAAAAAAAAAAAAGTGGTAACCCTTCCATACTTAATTTTAAATGGCTTTCAATTAACAGATGAGAAATGGAAAATTATTTAATAAAATTGGCTTGCTCAGTAGATGAGCCAATGGTGTGGGAAGGTTCATGTTTGATCCCACCCGCTACTTTGTCCACTAAACCCTTGGCATGTACATACATGCCACCCTTCAGGAAGTGGTTATAAAGCTTTGGAATCACTGCTCTCCACCATATGAGAGAGAGAGAGAGAATGACTGTCTGATTTCTGACTTTTTTTAAATATTAGCTTGGAACCACTGCTTTCCATCATATGACAGACAAGCAGAGGAGAGAGATTGGTTGACTTTGTGACTTCTTTCAAAAAAAAAAACTCAATTTGCTTTTCAAAGCATCTTCAGTATAAGCAGTTACAAGCATTACAAAAGATCAGCAGGATTGGCATCCATGGGACCTGTCACCTCCCATATTGTGGCTGCCAATCGGCGTGTGTGTTCCAGGACACATGGAGAAGTGGCTAGGCCAAGATGAATACAGAATAGTTCATACACACGCAGCCGGTTTGGGTCCATTCCTGGGAAGGCACGAGTGCAAAGGGAGCGATAAAAGTCTTCACACAACACGCCAGGTAGTGGGAGTGTCTCACTGACTGTCTCATCAAGTTCTCCTGGTTTCAGAGGGTTACCACTACCATCTTCAAACCAAAGGAAATAGGCATAACTGAAAGTTGTATCTTTCCACATGAGTGAAAGATGACCTTTTGCAAGGTGTGAACGAGCAAACTCCACCATTGACCAGACCCTTGCAACTGTCAAGGCTCTGGCACCATTTTCTGACACTTCCAGTTCCTTACTGATCTCCCCTGCTTCGTCTGTCAGAAGTGTTGGGGATGTCAACTGATGACTGGAACGATCAACATATAAGAAATGGACTAATCCCGGAAACTCTTCTAAATACTTGTTAATTGTTAGAGCTGACCTACAGCCTAGTGTCATATTCCTAAGTGCTTTAACTTCCAAGAAATGACAGTAGTCTGCCATGCGGTCAGCTGCAACAGCAACTGCTGACTCCACCAGCTGTGCTGAAGTGGCTGAGCTGACTGCTAAACATGCAGTGCGCCAGGCTGCCCGTGTAGTCTCTACCAGGGAGGTTAGAGAAGCATCTACTCGAGTTGGAACTTCAGCATCTGATGCAGTTCGCAGCCAATCTTCCACTCCGCTCTTCTTCACATTCTCCCAACGATAGTGCACCTGTACTCAAAAATAATTATTATCAGAAACATTTCTCATAACCAAGTACTGTGCTATATGGATAGCAAAGCATAAAGTAAGTGCTTATTGAAAAACATCAACTATTTCGAACAAAATGAATTTTTCCTCTAATATGCCATTTCAAGGAAAATTCACGAGATGTCTACAGCTGCCACTCCTTTACAGGTAAATGGACTACAAGATCTAGCAGTGAAAACATGTAAGCACATGGGTTTGAGAAGAAAATTATTCTTCACTTGTCACTTTCTATCTGTTCAATGGCAGTCCAAACACTTTCTTTACATGAAAGGATAGAAATGTTCATGGAATTACTATATTATGTAGCATAAGTGCAAGCATTCATACATTACCTGCTGCAGAGCTTTTTCTATTCGTTCTGCTGTCTTACTCCTGGGAAGTCTCTTAGCTAACTCCAGGGACTTTCTCACTGCTGTATCACAGGCATCCAGAATCAATTTGCCACGACTGTTCACATTGCCAGCGAGCATTTCCTCTAGGCCTGTTAGTAATGTGATGAGCTGCACTGATAGCTGTGTCCGGTTGATCTGTAGTTGATGATGTAAATTAATCTCAGCATGTATGCATTATATAAGATTTATATACAGAGTTTTATGTTTCCAAATGTTCTTTTAATCCCTATACAAGACAACTGCTACTTCTCTGCTTATCTGTAATCTAACTCCTAATGCAGTGCTAATTTGAAATGTTTCACTTAAAAAGTGGACTTGCCCAACTTTTTTGTACAAGGTTATTTTAATGCATCTCCATGGATAGTAAAACAAAACTTCTTCACACAGGGTCAAAAATGTCTTCTTAGTATTTTCATGGATATTCTCTGGTTATATAGTACTGACATCAATCACGCTATTGGATGGTAAGGCCCTATCACACTAGCACCTTTTCTGACAATTTTTGCATGTCCATATGAACTTTCCTTGTGTAAATGGACTGCCCCTATCACACTACCAAGGCACCAAACATAGAGCCTACGTAAACAACGATCGTGCCATCCAAGTGAGGTACCAGGAATCACATGAGCATTCTCATACCTATCACATTATATATTTTATATAGAAATGTTCTAGAGTCTTAAAACTTTTCTTTACATTAACTTATTCTATCTAATTCATAAATGAAAAATATTCTAGTTGTATATCTTCTGCAACACAAGAGCAAGATTTGATTTAGCCAGATGGAAACGGCTGCTACCTCTTTGTCTGGGAGTTGTTGTTTGCATGCGGTACATACAGAAAGCCCCAAATTCAGGTCAAAATACAAAAAAATATGGAAAAAGTGCTAGCATGATAATTGATGATGATTAATGATGATTAATGATGATGATGATGATGACTGATGATGAATGATGATGATTGATGATGAAGATAATTGATGATTAATTGTGGTGCACATCAAAAGTCTTACTGCAGTTTAGGATAGTATGGTATTCAAAGGGGTAAAGAGGGGTGAGGGCAGAGAGGGTGTGTAAATGGGTTAAGGTAGGGGTTAGCAAAAGGGTGATTAGATCAAAGAGCAGTTTCAGGAGAAACATCAGTATGGGGAGGATCCAGGACAGAGTATTGTGATAAAGGAGGAAGCAGAGGGATAACAGGGAAAGAAGTGGGCTTGATACTGACGAAGCAGGGGGAGGGATGGGTATGGACATAGTGGGAGGAAAGGGTGTAGGGGGATTATGAGTAGGAGGAAGATGGATGTCGGCAAAGGGAACGGAAGATGGATGAGGTATAGGCATGTATTTTGGGTCATGATTAGTTCTAAATATCATCAAAAATTTCTGAAATGGAGGTAGTTGGGGGAGTCTTGAGAAACAAAGGTTTTCTTATACAGAGGAGAAGAGGGGACAGACATCTGAGGGGCAGAGGAAGAGACAGATAGGAGAGAATGCAGCAGGACTAAATGAGGTGGAACATTTAGACTGTCTGATGCAAGAAGAAGAGCATGGAGGAAGATGGATAGGTACTGGGAAAATACAGACTGGAGTGTCTAGATATAGAATGGCAAAATAATTTGATTGAGAGAGGGAGGGGATTTAATAGCGAATGAAAGGAGTAGAAGGAAGTGATACTGGGAGAAGGGGGAGGGGCAGAGTGAAGGACAGCACTGGCTTAAGTAGCATGAGAAATACCTTGTAGACAAACTTCCTGACTGGCCTTACGTAAAGTGAGGCCAAGTTTGAATCTGAGGAATGCTACCTCTGATTCAAACTTGTGCATGGCAGCTTAAACATTCACGTCTAGGTTGGGCACATACAGGCCAGCGGGTTATAAAGCAACAACATTTAGAAGGATGTCCAAAACAACATTTCTGACACTGACAGGGAAGGGGTCAATACAGTTGGACAGGGCAGGACTCTTCAGCAATATAAACTTAATGGGGGAGGTCATATCTGCAGAAGGTAATTTTGGCAATATTGGTGTAGGTCTTCCGGCAGCCTACAGGGGGAAGAGTGTAACACTACCATGATTCTGCATCTTAGTCAATGAGGCAGGCAAGCCAGTCATTTTTACAATCTGATCAATCTTTGTCATAGGCAGGGCAATCAGCTGGGGAGATGGAAACAGTTCCAGTACAAGTATTAAGGGAGGAGTGAGGCTGGGTTTGCCAGCAAGGTCAGTCAGGGTAGATAATGCATAAGCTTGAGACTGTGACAAGGTGTGCACTATGGGGACAGCTGTGGAAGGAAACTTTGCCTACTTGTTTTTGGAGACATTGTTGGAATAGGAGGGTACTGTCAGAGTAAGAGGCTGTAGGGGGAATGACAAAAACTCAATCCCATTTACCTGGGTTAAAAAGAGTACTCAAAAGATCTCTAGAGGTGAAAGTAGTTGAAGGGTGAGGGCGAGAGGAAGAGGGAGGCATGCTGAGTGAGTTAGTACTATGAAGAGGTGGACAATAAAGATGCAGAGTAGTAATAAGAGAGGAGGTGGTTGAAATTGAAGATGACTGTGGAGGATGAGATGGAGTATAGGATGTTAGGAAGCAGGAATGTTTTCTGAAGGTTGGGTAATGACCTAGATAATTGCTTTGGAATAGTCATGATCAAAGAAGAGCCAGTACAATCAAAATGGTAAGTTGGGGTGAGTTGACAGAGGGGCAAGCCTCAATGCTCCTAACATACGAATAAAATCTTTACTGGGCATCGTAAGCCTGGAGTATGTAGGGAAGAGAAGTGATTCACCTCTTAGGTGTTCCCATGAGGGGCGAGGGTGGAGCAATCCCCGACTGACTACCATACAGAAGTGCTCCTGACTCATGATTGCCCAACTCTGGCAGAGCGACCACCCAACTGGCTGAGCCACCATCACTGGTCAAGTTCATAAGCTGCCTGACCTAAAGCTGAGTCACCATTCAGCACTCACCTGTTCACGAGGCAACATTCTTGTACTCAGTCACTCATTAAATAAAAGAGATAAAAACCAGTGAGATTTTGTATCCTCCACAATGGTGACCCTTGAAGTGAACCAAGAGTTATTACAATGTCTGCCACACAAAGTTGCTAGCCAACCTGTCAGAATGATTCCTAGAGATGGAACAAGAATTCCTCCTCAGGAACATAACCTCCCAAATATCAAAATACCACATGCTGTTACATACCCACAATATGGTCCATACTATGAACTAAGGAGGCTAAACTCAAATGTGCAGTACCTAATCCTCGATTGCCCATCCAGTCACATATATGAGACACAAGGAAAAATAAACAGTTTCGGGCTCCAGTGCGATGCTGTCTCGGAGCCGTGCTTGACAGACTGAAATTTTGTAGCTTCCCGGATTTTTTTAATTTGGGCTACAAAATGTATAAGCACCTCGGCGTGGGTGGGTTAAGCACCTTCCTCTCAGCTGAAACCACAAAAAGCCATTTCAGAGTCCTTTGCCATTTGCAGGATATCTTCAACTACTCCAGGATGATTTTTTGCATTCCCTCTTCATCAAGTGGTTAGCCGCAGACATCCAAGAAATACTTCTAGTGAATTTGTGCTGTTGGAACAACTAACCCTAAAGGCTGATACCATGACTGCAGCTAAGGCACCCATACCCACAGCAACAGTAGTATCTGCTGCACCTGCCACTTCCACTGTGACGTTGGAATCCCTCACAGCGCAGGTTGCAGCACTATCTGAGGCAATGCAGAGATTGTTCACACGGGAACGACTATCATATTTGAATTCCAAGGCCTGCTTCCACATACCTCCACCTTCACACAGAGACTGTAACTTAGAACACTCCCCAACACTGAGGTACTGTCAAGACAACACATGCTCTGCCATTTCTACACAAGGTTTAGAACCAACACTGCCTCAATGTTTGGCACAACATAGTGACTCACAGCCTCCTTGCCTACTCTTGTTGCTGTTCAATTGCTACCGACAGATGCTACAGTGCCAGGGTGGACTTCAATCACATGATGCAGTTAGGGATCATCTGGCCTTCAAGCAGCCAATGGGCAGCTCCTTTGCATCTGGTCAAAAAGAAGGATTGCAACTGGTACCCATTACCTAAACACAGTCACAGCCACTGACTGATACCCGCTGCCCTTTTCAGAGAACTAAAAGAAGTGGGAGTCATCATCAACTCTGGTAAATGCTTGTTCAGTGTTGCTTCACTCTCTTTCCTCAGTCATACCATCACTTCCCATGCGAGTATGATACCATCATTGGCATCACCCCCACACACGAAAATGTTACCACCATATGAGAGTTCCCCAGACCAATGACACAGACAAGTAAGTTCCTTGTCATGTTTAATTTTTAAAGGAGACTCATCCCTAAGTGAGATCAGTTCCTCCAACCACTGCACACCCTGATCACCCCTTCCCAGGCCAGCAGGCTTGCACAAATCAAGTGGACATCCCTAACCAACAAAGTCTTTTAAGCTTGTAAGGAAGCCCTGGCTTCTGCCATCCTGCTCAATCACCCCTGGCTCGGAGCATCACTCAGCATAGCTGTAAATGAGAGAGAACAACAATGTCCTGCTAAGCAATATTTTGAAGACGAAAATAAAAGTTTCCAGGCGGCTACAAAATCAGTGCACAGGGTTGGTCCGGACTCTGCCCACATGCTGGCAGTGGCCTACTGCTGAGTTGGAGCGCGAGCCCCGATACAGCGTCACACTGGCGGGACACCCGACAATTTCTTTTTTTCTGGGTGTCCCATATTTGGGACACCTATCGTAAATGGGTCAAACTTGACAGAGTCCAGATCCCACACTCTCGTGACAAAGTCCACTCTGATGTCTCCCTTGGCTACCCTCGCCCATTTTTTAATGCCTATCACAAGCATCATGGCATTCAGGCCAACCAACACCTCATGCACAGCAAGGTCATCTGACTCACCATTAACAAAAATGTTTAGTAGTGGTGTCGCTCATATATCTGGATGATGGTGGGAGTGTTATATCACCTTACCAATATGTAAGCCAATGACTGAATTTTTGTATTTTTATAATCTAAGTATTGTATTTATTTTTAAATGTTATTATACCCAAGTTATGCATGTGAATTGTGAGCCCACACAGGGACTTATTAAGATAAGGGTGAGGATAACCAAAGTTACCTCATCCCTTTGAGATGTAATTTTTCTTTTATCTTAATAAATATGTTAAAGTAAAAAAAAAAGTCATACATCAAATGCCAGAGGAACAAGATCCAAAGGCACACCCTCCCTTTCAATCTTTTTCCATACCTGACAAAAGGCTCCAGCATATCCACATCCAAGGCTACACCTATCTGCAACATCACCTTAGTGACAATTGCTAAGACCTTCTTCAGCACCAGGCTCTCCTGTTTTGGCATCCAGGCCACTGTTAACTAAGCAACTAAGGTGCCCAGTTTGAGTCTGAACTCTGGCCCCGACTGATGGTTCTTCTAGGCTCTAAGAGAATCAGGAGGACTGCCTAACACCCCTGCCCAAACAACATGGTTAAGTGCCTTCACCACCACACGAAGTAAGCCCCAACATCTTCCTCTGCCAATGAAAGGTGGGTCAAACAGCTTCCCCTTGTCCTTCTTAACATCCAGACATTCTTCAAGGAAGATCTATACTGCATCATTGCAGAAAAGGTCTATAGAACCATGCTTGCCCTCCCCATAGACTTTATCAAGGCCAGCAACTTTGAACCAGGGACCTTCAGCAAGTAACTCTGTGAAAGAATGCACCTTGTATCCAGCTGACTAACAAGAGGGTATCTACATACCCCCAGACTCCAAAACTGCTCCCATGTCTTCGTGAGGAAACATCCCAGACCCCTTTTCTGCCCTCCATACAAGGGCCTCTTCCTGATCATCAGCAGAGGTGAGACCAACACCATTAGAATCTTTGTTTCATGATTTTTTGAAAGTCCATACCATGATCTTAGGGAATCCTCACAGCCCAAAGAGTGTACAAATTATCCTCAGACTATTACATCAATCATAAACCCAATAAATAACAGTATTTGCTATCAGGATTTCATAAATGAAAATCCACAAACATGAATATCTGAAATAACACACAAAAAAATGTTCTCTGGAACTTTAACTTCTGTCACTTTTTCCACAGCATGAAGATAGCCAGATATTTAAATTGTGAAGTCTGTGGGTTATTTTTATTTCCCATTACTTTCTGCATTATCATCTACCATCATAGAGTCATTCAACCACCCGACGGGTACATTTTGTAGGCAAATTAAAAAAAATGGAAGCTACAAAATCGCAGGTGGAGCTTCCCCGGAGTCTGTCCAATTTTTCATCGCACTGGCGGGCAGCCCGAAACTGTTTATTTTTTCCCTGTGTCTCATATATGTGACACCCGGACGAATGGGTTAACTGTACTATTTAGTACTCCTCCTCTGTTATTCCTTATTCCTTTTTTTATCTGTAACAATTTTTCAATACATTTTGCCACCAGTGTCCACTATATATCATCTTTAAAGGGTATCCAGCTTTCAGAGATATTTTACTATAAAAAGAAAGTAAGATGATAATGTTCCATATTCCTTGCTGACAGGAGTAACACAACCATCTTGACTCAGATAACTTACAGTTGCAAGGTAGGTTTCTCAAGCATAAGAGGGGCGCTGCTGTCTTATAATAATCTATGTACTCAAAGTTTATTATTAGAACTGCATAAGCTATATGTTACAGATTAATGCTGAACAACCTGGGACTCTTCAGGTTAATACCAAAGCCTCAATTCATGCTGCTACAAAAAAAAAAAGAGGCAAATCTGAAGTTTGCTGTTAGCCACAGTGATAGTTCCAGATTCTCTCTAGCATAATCACTCCATATTCTCTTCATTTGTGTATACATGTGTAGATGTGCAACAGGAGCAATGAAGGGAAGAACAAGAGAGCTCACAAATATGCCGAAGGCCTTCTCACAACTGATGAAGCAATAGCAAAAAGGCCTTCGGCATATTTGTGTTTTCTTGTTCTTCCCTTTGTTTTTTCTGTTGCAATTTGTTTGACATGAAGTCCACACGTGTAGATGTTTAAATATTCCCTAAACCATTCATATGACATACCTCTGACACAATCACCAGAGCAAGACCATCAGACAAGGTCTCATAATGGACCAGGTGAGGTGTGAGATGGCAAACTTCAGTGTGAAGGAGTAATACACAGCTTCTGATCTTTCCTTCTTGCTCATCTGTTGAATAAGATGATTTTAAAGAAAGTTCTGCATTACTCTTTATCTAATCATACAGTATTATGCATTAATAGGAATTCAATTTGAGTCCCTCAAAAAATACTGCCATCAACGGTGACTTACCTTCAACCAGCCCAGCATGTCTTCCCAGTGAAGGTGTGCTTGGGATGCTGTAAAATTCTCCAGAATCACTGCTATCCACTTCTATTCCATCATCATCTTTCCTGTGATCTACTGTTTCTGTGTTTATCTCATTATCTGTTTCACACTCTTCTATTTGTCCAAGCTCCTTCACCTGGCTTGCTTCCACAAGAAGATTAAGAAAGAGAAGATCTGATGCACTTAGTTCCTGTGCATTTCGACTGAAAGAGAAGAGAGGCATTTTTTGAGAAACTTCTATCATCTTATCAAGCTGTGGAAAGCAGTTCCATAACCAAGAATCCCAGCCATAGTGTGGAATAATGCACATATATACAGACTAGTAATGCCATTTCCTTTATGAGCTAAATATCACCCCATTAATACTAATTACCAATGCTAATTAAAGCATTACACATCCTGTTCTCCCTCAGGCAATGCCTCAGGATATGTGACATATAAGAATACCATATAGAGATCTGCATAAAACATAATGCATGCATCATAGTATAATGGCATGGATGATCCATCCTCTGTAGTCATGACAGAGTCAACTGCAACAGGAACAGCACGTCCACAGAGCTATGACCAAGTCAGCCAAGAAGTGACCTACGCATCAATAGGAGGCATAGGGTTAAAGTTAAGGGAAACCTTTTTTGCACCTGGTTCATTCAGCTAAAACTTGATGTGCTAAATGAATCAGGTGTAAATTGGGGGAGCCTGCCAATAAACCCACATTACAGGCCACAAATCAATTTTTAATACCACAGTTAATGAGTTAAGAAACTTCACTTACCTTGAGTACAGGGCCAGTAACTTGCTCCTAACAAAAAACATGGCATGGCATGGGGTCAGTTCTTTTGCTGCCTTCATCTTGTCCACCACAGAGGCAAGAGCCTTGACTGCTGCGGCAGAGAGTTCAGAGTTGACTACCAGCCTCTCCACAGCCTCCACTAAGTAGCTCTGCTCACTGGAATATAAGCGCTGCCATGCCTCTAACAGGCTATCCAGCAGTGCACTCTTCGTCGCACTGCGTTTCAATCTGCCAAAAAAAGGGTAAAGGAATAAGAAATGTAGACTATCTATTAATAAAAGTTAGCCAGCGTTTTGAGTTAGAGCTTTACAGGAGTGAAGACCTTTGAAGGGTGAACAGGAAGGCACAAGAAATATGTTGCATTCATAGGAAGCAATTACAAATTCACTCGTCATATTTTCCTTTCCTTCCTTAACCCACTAGTGACGGTACATTTCAAAGCCGAGAATAACATTTTTCGGGCGGCTTCAAAATCGGCGCGCAGGCAAGTCCGGGAACCTGCCTGCACACCGCCCGCCACAGTCGACAAAATCAGAACACAAGCTGTAATATAAAGTTTACTTTTCTGGGTATCTCATATGTGGGACACCCGTTGTAAGTGGGTTAACCATGATTTTAGAGGAAAAATACTTAAATCTTCATATACTGTTTGTTTATTAAAATCTATCATGCAAGTTATCAGGTGCACCCTCATCTAATAGTTTCTTTGATGAATTTAATTTTGTGACACATTAATCCCTAAAGTTAATTCTGCTTTGCATGAACATGTTGGTGACCTGCATCATGCACGAGAAACTATACCAAGCTTCATGTTTAAGTGTGAATCAGATACAGAAAGGGTAAACTAATACACCTGGTATTGTCTAGCACAAAACAGTGTGAATGAGAAAAAAATAACGTCAGAGCAAAAAACAACTTCATTGCACATAATATGTGTTTGCATTGTTTTGAAACATATTAACAACATCTCTTGTGCTATGAAGGTATTCATTCTCATTCATATATTTTTCTATATCTCATACAACAAACACTGCTCAGTGTTTGGCATCTTTTTTACAGCCTCAAGACCACAGAAAGCTATTATCCATCCCTTTACCACGTCCTGAAAATAATGAGCTTTCTCCTTTCTATCTTCCCAATTTATTACACTGCTAATTATGATTACATGTTTTATTGCATTATTTGTTTTATTTACAATTTTATGGGTCATTTGCAAAAGACTCTTCTGCCATAACAGGATGCTTTTTGAAGGTCATAATATCAATCCATTTTCAGCATTTACACTACTATAAAGGATGAAGACTGACTAGGTAATTCTACCATTATTTCTTCCATCAGAATATTTCATTTCACCTGCCAATTTCTATATTCTTTTAAGTAGACAATACAATTCTGATTTATTTATGAATCTGAACATACTTGAAGCTCAGAATTTTGCCATTCTTTAATAGGTGAGGGTATACTGTATTCACTTATCCTGAATTATTGTAAAATTCAAAGGGTTAACAGATTCTGCTAAACCTATCAAAGGGACCTGTAGGAAACCTAATACAACCACAAGCATCAAGTCATGAGTATACTCATGTGGTTATAAGCATGCCCACATGTGTAACAATAATTTGCAAGGTCATCATTAACCCATTTACGATGGGTGTCCCACACATGAGACACCAAGAGAAAAAAACATTTCCAGGCATCCCGCCAGTGTGATGCTGGATCAGAGCTTGCGCTCTGATTCCGTCGCAGGCCATAGCCAGTGCTGGCAGATTCTGCGTGCCGATTTCAAAGCTGCCCGGAAACAATTATTTTCGGATTCAAAATATACCATCACTAGTGGGTTAACTAAACTACCTTTAAGCAAAATAGCAAGAGATTTCTGTAAACACTTAAATTATTTACAATATCTTACCAAGATGTGAAACTTCAACAGAAATGCTTAAGAAACAAAACAAGTTCAGAGTCTTAACAATAAAGTATTTGTATGATAACACACCAGTACTTACATGGTAACACATGGTCCAACTACTAATTGAACCATTCGTATAGTCATGCTTATAAGGCGCTGAAGATGACATTCTTCTTGATGTCCAACACCAACAAATAAATAACCGGCATACTGAAGGAAAAACAATCTCATTAATGTCCTGTTTACTGCATGTTTTCCTATTTTCCTCTTCACTCATCCTTCTATTTCTATTTCAATACTGTATTTGTGGAAACACACATACCTCTTGGAAAACCACTGTTGTTCCATCCTGGCAAGTGACTGACGTGTAAGGATTGTTGAACTGTGTGGCCATGATGCGCTGCGAGGTCACCAAGGGAGAAAAAATCTGGACAACAATGTTGGGATCCAGATGGGACACCTGGAACAGTACACTTGCTCAAAGACGGTACCAACGCCATGTTGTGTTTTGTATATTTTTGAAAACGTGGAAAGAAAAAAAAAGGTTACCTCACCAAAAAATCTGTTATACTTGTAAGAAGGGATATCATCACCTGTACTTTGAATCATTCCAATTATAGTGTAATTGTAAACTGATATTCATACTTCCATATTTATCCTTCCCCAGTGATAACAGTAGATAACAGTTCCTTGACACAATACCTGCATATATGTAAACTAGAGGGGAGAGGAGTATATCTTTACCAAAATTACCGCAATCGGTTATGCAAAGGTATTGTGAAAAATTACTATAATATATTCTTACAAAGAATTGGGCATGTATCATAACTGCCTCCCAACATTAACAGACTGAATACAGAACCAGTCCTGAATGATTATGTTTCTGAATATAGGGTGGAGGTTTAGGGGCCTTTGCCAGAGAGATAGAAAGTAAGGCTATGGCACTGGCTATGAAGTAGTCTAGAAACCCACGGTAATTTTCTGGAATAGACCTGTCAAACGGAATGCCAACATTTTGGTATCAATGGATTCCTCTCACCCTCAACAATGCACATTAGCGACAAGCTTGGCCCTAATAGCAGGGGAGGACAAGAGAGATACCAGGGGAATTGGAGGGTAAAATATGAAGAATTTACACAGAATCAGTCACTATATTATCTAATACAGGGGGCTGTGACCCCCTCATAGGGGGTTGCTGCCCCCTAATCCCTGCAATGGAACACAAAGAATCCTCCTCATACTCACAGCTGGAGAGAACATACAACCAACATGCGGGAGCGCCCGATGGCAAATCTGTATGACGCTTTCTCCTGCCATGAATACATGGAGGATTCTTTGTTTTTCTGAGAAAGGGTTGGGGTGTGGTAGCCCCATATGGAGGGGTCACAGGGGGCAGAACCCCCTGTAATAAACAATAACGGAACTGATTCTGTCTATATCTTTTTATATTTTGCCCTGCAATTTCCCTGGTACCTTTCACACCCTCCCCTGCTATCAGGCACAAGAGTATATATTTGGACAGTGGTGTGAGAGGAATCCACTGGTAACAAAAGTGTCACCGAACTATTCCAGAAAATTACTCCTTCCATGATAACGCCACAAATAAAGAAAAGAGTACTACCCATAGCCCAAGTCGACTTGGTTTCAGCTCAATTTTGGAGTGCAGGATAATGTTTCCCGGGGGGTGTTGGAGGACAGAGCCCACCACCAACCCTCCCCTCCGGCAGTACATGAAGGGCACATCCAATCACCGTAACAAGGATTGCTGAATAGATTTTGTGATGTGGAGTTGGGAATTTAAAGCATTTTAAGCAGGGAAAGTTCTTGTCTATAATCCCACGACTTTCTTGCTAACTCAAGAATTTTTCTTGCTTTCTCAAGGGACCCCTGTATATGGCTAGATTTGCGCTTGCAAAGTCAAGCAGTGTACCGTCACCATGGCAACAGCATCGGTCACATACCCTAGCAGTTACAATCCTTCGAACGCTTGCCATTGGCCAATAATGCTTATTATTTTATCAGAGAAATAATCTTTTTTACATTATCTGATTCTGTCACTTCCATAAAATCATATTCAAAGAAATTGAAATTAACTGAAAACGAAAGGATATAATGGAGATTATGGGAATGAAAGTTTTTTTCTTATAAATCATAAATCATTATAGGATGAACAATATATCTCTTACTTTCAATTTCTTAGTCTCTCTAAATTGAGAATGTATTTACTATTCAATGAAATAGAGAATATTTCAAGTGAAAAAATGTCTGAAAGATTCTAGCAACATTCTTCTGTTAATATTGCATTCAGTGACTATTATTTTCAACTTCATAAAATTGTATATATGGAAATGGGTTGGCCTATATTTTAATTCAGTGATATTCATTTGTTTTGAAAGCACGGCAGAGTGTAAGAGTTGCCAATCAGAAGTGTGTCGCTTTTTTAGAGGAACTCTATATGTATATAAGAGAAAATATTGCACTTTGTAAAGATGTTTGGTACATTTTCTTATTTTTCTGCCATCGAGCTTGTCAGTTGTTTTGAAAGCCACGCTCGAACTGTTGCCAACTGCCAATGAAATAACCTCCACCCTCGACTCACACGTAAGTTATCCCTCTCCGAGACTGTTAGTGGGAATACTTGTCTATCGCTTTTAAAACCCGAGTATATGTATGTTGTGTGGTATTTTGACATTTCTATGCTCTCCAAGGACTTTTATGATTTGTACTTTATAGAAAGACACTTCCACATGTCTGGCATCACTGAACCTGTCTTGCCTACCAATCCAAGCGTTTTAAGCAGGGAATGGTACAGCCCTTGGCCTGTCGGCAAGAATTCTTTCCCAAGCGCTCCCCTGTTTAAAACGTTTTTAGTCTCTGGCGAATGTGTCTGTACTGTACAGAATTACCGAACTTTGTCATGCTTTGTATCGTTCTATCATTTAATGTAGATTTTATCACCCGGTTCAGACACTGCCTCGTAATGGATAACGTCCGCCTTTCCATCTATGAATATCTGAATCCATCCTATACAACCATTATTAATTTTTGAATACTATACAATACTATACAACCATTATTAATTTTTGATTTATATAAAACAACTACATACACTGATGTATACTTTGTAGAAGAAGACGAAAAAGAAAAAAAAAAAACAAGTTACACCCATCATCCTCTCATTTTCTCAGAGCAATCAGACTGGTAATGAAAAGAAAAAGAAAAAAAAAATGTCCCCAAATGCCCCGCAAAACTCCTCACAGAAGACATTTTGGGATCAGGTTCCAACACCCAGACGACTCCTCGGACTCACACCCAGACGACTCCTCGGACTCACACCCAGACGACTCCTCGGACTCACACCCACGACTCCTCGGACTCACACCCAGACGACTCCTCGGACTCACACCCAGACGACTCCTCGGACTCACACCCAGACGACTCCTCGGACTCACACCCAGACGACTCCTCGGACTCACACCCAGACGACTCCTCGGACTCACACCCAGACGACTCCTCGGACTCACACCCAGACGACTCCTCGGACTCACGGGTTGCGGGTCGGCCAGGTCCTGCTCCTGCAGAAGGCCCTGCGAGGCTGCCATCGTCCTCACATGTCGGACGAACCTGTGGTCGCACCGCAGGTACACCACGTCGTTCAGCTGGTCGAAGATGAGCACGGCTTGCATCTTGCTAAGTCCTCCCAGCTGGAGCTCAAGAATCTCTCCTCCAGCAGTTGATAGGCCTTTGACGTGGATCTGCCTCACATGACAGGCGAGACAAGGATGCTCCTCAGGCTGACTGCTGGGTCTTCGGAGACTGCCATCGAACTCTGGCCAAGGGATGTCGACCAATGAGAACGCGCGCGAAGGTAAATCGCCGTTCTCATTGGCTGCTTTGGCGAAGGGAGTCTCTGTATTGTGGTTTCTCTAAGGATCCCATTTTCTTTCGTATATCAAAATTTTACAGGGATACTATTCTATTTTTTTGGCTTTCCTTTAGAGAAATAATATAACATTTTAAAAGTCTAGTTAAACTGATTTTACGCAATGATTGAACCTTGATTTTTAAAAGTCAAGACATGGTGATTTTTACGCAATAATTGAACCTTGATCGTTCAGTCGTTTCCCTGACAGCCCATAAGCTGCCCAGTGGCACCAAGACCCACACTCAACACTTTCAGCCGCAGGACTTGTTTCAGTACAGCCAAGGCTAGGTCTGGGTAGAAAGCTAAACAGCCTACAGTTCTAGTGATCTCATGATCAGGTATTCGTTTGTACTATCGTCATCTTTATTTCAGCATTCATTCACGCTCGCTCATGGTCCATGGCTTCTGCTCCCTCCGATGGGCAGCAGTTGAAGGTCGACTCTGCATCTTGATATTC